ACACACACACACACACACACACACACACACACACACGTGTGTGTGTGTGTGTTAAATAATAGGTAATTATTTAAAATAATCAAATCAAGAAATAGTTCGCCTCTCTCCTGATCGGAATTTAGGTCTTTGCGACCTAGGAGGGTCAGGTGCTCTGAGACCTCTTCCTCCCTCAAGAAATAGTTCATTTGCTGATTGTTTGTTTTGAATATCGCGCCAAGCTACTCGAGGGCCATCTGCGTTAGCCGTGCTTAATTTAGGCTGCAACGAATAGTGGGGTTGACCGTCAAATTATAAGTCCCTCACGACTTAAAGGGCGACCATGTTCGGTGACGGGGATTCGAACCCGCGACCCTCAGATTGCGAATCGACTGCCCTAACCACGAGGCCATGCCAAACCCTTATTTGTTGTTTCCGATAATTCTTTTCATCAGACATCGTAGCAAGTGATTATTTTATTTATTCACTGTTAAATCTGTTTTGTTCAAAATAATGCACATTGGTTGATATTTTTATTTAAAAGGAATTACCTTTTGTTGTGTTGTTCAAGTTAATTTTTTTTATAAGACATCTGTTTGATGATGAGGTCTTCAAAGTTCAAGTTCAGTCTAAGTAACCTAAAATGTGTCATTTTCCAGAGAAAGTTCGTCGAACTTGACAGCGTCAATTTCTTTGACTGTTTTTACTCGCGAGCGATGCCACATGAGAACATAGCCTGTCAGAAATATGCACACACCGTATACAGGTTGTTTATTAAATTCAACGTAAATACATAACATGTGCCCACAGCCTGTCTATTTCTTGATGCATTAATATTATCCTGATTGCAGTTTTCCACGTGTTTTTCAGGAATACACGCTTCAGTATGATTAAAAAAATTAATTTTGTGGCACCTGTTGAGCAATCACTTAAAACTTGTCAGATGTTCATGCTTATGATAACACTTTACAAAGTAGGCTAACATCACAGGATTTGTATTATTTTTAATATGTATACATATATACTGTTGACATACCCGGGGTGGAGGCTATAGAGACCAGGTCCTAACTTCACTTCCTGGAGAGTCCTAAGCTAAGTACCAGTGTTTGGTGACAATCGATTCACTGCTTATAAGGGGATACACACAGAACACACAGACATTTGTCAAATAGTGGTTTAGATATGTACAGTAACCTAAAATTTGAGTACGAGCTTTTTTTTTATGTAATATAGGTTTTCCAAAACTTGTTTATCACGACCCTATTTTTGCGAATTTTCATACCTGCACTCCAGAAGCGTCATTTAACAAAAGGCTTGGGAGTAGGGGCAGGGAGACTGTCCTTGCGGGGGTCCCCCAATTCACCTGGGGGCCCTTTGCTATGGTGTAGTTTGCTTATATCTGTTAATCCGGCCTGACGAGAAATATCCCATAGAAACGGCTAATTAAGGGGCCCCCTTTCGAGTTTGAGGAGGGTGTAGCCACCCCTTCGGCTCCCAAATGATGCTCCTGTCGCACTCCCCCCATCTTTATTAATAATACCAGAAAAAATATATTAGTAATTAAAATTAACGGTGAAGGTAATTATCAACAGGATGTACGCACCTGTTTTAAATGAGCACAGTAATTCCATTCGTGGAGTGACGTCACAAAAGCAAACTATAATCAGTTTCGTTTGTTGTTGTTATTCTGGCTATTCTTATGAATCCAGATCCAAATAGACGGGTCGTATTACTAACCATAACGGTTGTGTGAAGATTGTCAGATCAACGTAATATTTTTGTTTCATGTGAACTTTAGAAGCTTTTTTTTTAAAATAAGTGTTGTTTTTAAATATTATTTTTCGTCAAATTAAGAAACGTTTAATTACAATGTTTTGCTATGGGGAAAGAAAGTGTTTCGACTCTTTAGGGTTTTGCTTTTTCCTTCAGGTCCTTTGTAGATGTCTCAGAACCAAATCAGAATCTCTCATTGATGTTTTTTTCTAAGCGTTGATTCAGTGGGACGATACTCGCGTGGCCTTGACGTTATTTATTTACGACGCAGTCACTCAGCTGCGCTCAGCGACGGTTGCCGCCTTTGAAGTCGCCGCAACCATTGTTACCAGCCTTAAGCGTTCGAGACGGCGCGTGAACACCGCAAGTGTAAACGTTGCTTCGTCTGCTCGTGACAAAAGGGTGTTTTCCTGTTGCCAGTCGGAGAATATGGAGAATAAAACTGACCAATTTTTAAGTTCGTAATATTTGCGTGAAAATTGTTTTAAAATCTACTTACGTTATTCGTCTGTTTTATCTAAATCTATACAAGGACAGAGTTTTGAAACCTTCAACATAAAGAGAACAAGTCGTCATTTAAGGCTGCTGCATTGAAGCTGTCGTCATATCCTCCTGAGTGTATGGTCCGTGACGTAGGTATACGGCTGGTAATATATGACTTTTCTTTAATTTTGGTAACTAATTTAAAATTTGAATTGTAAGTACTTTTTAATAGAAGATGTAAAAAAAAAATATGGAAGTTGAACACCATTCTCATGGGATAGGTTTACCGTTGCAGAAGGCGTTACCATAACAAAAGAATGGTATTAGCTCAAGTCTTAACGTGTGTGATTACAAAGGGCGTTGTGTTACTTACAGACAAGATCGTACGTTTTCGTGACGTACTGCTGCCTACATCTTTGTGATTATCATCGCGGAAATGCTGGAAACAGTTGCTTGTTTAAAACTACGCTATTGATGTAATTAACACTTCTTTCACTCAATTACAAATATTGTACAAGCTGGTAATACTTCAGTTAATATTCACGTGAGAACGTTTACCTTTCTAGTAATCCAGAGTTATGTGTTATTACAAAGAGTCACTTTGATAAGCATATGTAGTGACGGTAACCACAAAACTCACGTACACAACTTTTTACAAAGTTTTTGATAAAAAGAAAAGGGGGGGGGGTATAAGGTATTAACGTAGTAGGACTTGATAATCTGGGTGGAAGTGAAATTTGGGGAGCTGTATGCTCTCTGTGGATTGAAGTTATAATCCCTGCCTCGAGGAATAAATGCAAGCAGTGTTGGTCCTTGGGGTGGGCGACGTGTGCCCCGCAAGGGACTCCAAAACCGACATTGCAATTAGTAGTTCTTGCCAATTTTACAGGAGCAGGGGCTCCAAATACAAAGATCGCAAGGGCCACAATTTTCCTAGGGCCGGCTCTGATTAAAATGTAACAAAATTGACTTTTTTTTTCTTTAAGCTCTCGTTGTTTAATTCACAATTGTTTCTGGCGTAGTTTGGGACGGATGTGGCCTAACGGTTAGCGTGCCGGACTGTAAGTCCAAGTGTCCATGGCTCGCGTCCCGTGTTTGCTAGATCGCATTTTGCACTGTCAGGCCGTGGGTGCGTAAGGAATGACAGTCAAATATTATTATTCGAATAGAGTAGCCAAGAGTTAGTGGCGCGTGCTGTTAGCTGGCTGCCAACCAACTAGTCTATCAGTTCAAAATTAGGGACGGCTGGCGATGATAGCCCTTGAGTAACATTGAGGTAATACCTCGAACAAACTAACATGTTACCAACTAGTCTATCAGTTCAAAATTAGGGACGACTGGCGATGATAGCCCTTGAGTAACATTGAGGTAATATCTCGAACAAACTAACATGTTACCA